TCAGCTGCTCGAGAGTTCTATCAACAAGCACAGGATCGCGCGCGACAGTCGCATTATCCTTATTTGGATCCATATACTCATTTTCGTGGCTCGTTGTCTGAGTATACGGAGTCGAAAAAGTACGCAGATTATTCCACTGGAATTAAATCATGTGGACCAGGCCGCTTTGCTTCGCCTTATCCCTGGTTTACTGATGCACAGCATTGCTTTTCTCGGCCGAAACCATTTCGTCCTACTTTGGAGAGCCCTAAAAAACGCAATCCGTCATCTGCGCGGTGCTATAAACGTAAGCGGACACTGTCTGTTAGTGACGTGAAATTTTCTTTACCCAAGTCCTCCGCGCCCGAGGTCTTCGACTCTCTTGCTCTCAGCCGACTTTTGTCTATCAATGTCGCACAATGCGTATCATGGCCAGAATTAGAAAATCCCATCGATGTGTATCCTCCGGAACCGGCATTGAAAAAGAGAAAATTACCATGTCATGAGGTGCCACCGGATTTGGATTTGGCGGTAAGCACAGGTTTTCCATCTTCCCGTGCCAGAAAGTACACCTCTCTACCGTTTACCCTTCGTTCACCAGGGGTTTTAAACAGCCGTGATCTCCTTTTCCACTTGAATAATAGTCAAAATACCAAATTAGATACAAATAAAAATCTTCTGAGCAATGCTCTTGCAGCCGCAATCGCCCGATTAAGCGAACATCGGTTACTGACTGTTCCGCCTTCACCTACCGTTCAGTCTAATATATCTGATCCCTTGAATTTGTTCACAATGCAAGAGGATGAAACTACTTCAACTTCTCCAGAAATTGTACTGTCACCACCTAAACACTGTCGGATTCCAGAAAGTGTGATATCCGAAATTCAGAGCAGCTATCAGCAGGTGGGCGAATCGACTTCTCTTCCTCGGTTCTCTACGTCTCGGAACTCGCGTCCGGAGAAAAGAATAACCATGGATATGATTAGGGCTGATGCGACTCCCATACGTGTATGTCAACAGTGCAAGATGCAAATATTATTTTCCAGTGGCTTTGTGTCTGACCCTACATCCTCCTCTGACGAGGTCTTTTGCAGCGAAACCTGCATGCATAAATACCATTCGGTTCCCAGGCTGCACAGGTCCTGCACCGGAACAGCAAATACTTTATACGCTGATCCCTCTATAGCCCCAGTACCAGTATTGTTACAGAGTGCGCCTTCTAAACTATGCAAAACTACAATGAAAGCGTCTTCCATTCCCAAGTGTAACCGGCGGACTCAACGTGAATGGCCTCTCTGCGTCCCAACACAACGCTGGAAGGGGTCGCGTTGGACTATCTTTTCCTCAAGCAAACCACCTGGCTCTGTCTCGTACGATGATTCCCCAGAGGCTGGAATAAAACCAAAACCACTTGCATTTGAGGTTCTCGACGGCGCACCTCTTCCTATTTGCGCACTGTGCAAACGGGGGGTTGACGAGACCGATGTGTCTATAGTTGGGCGTTACTTGAACTACACGTGCGACAAGTGGGTTCATGTTAATTGCATCCTTTGGTGTTATGGGGTCTCTGAAACTATGGGTGGTTGTTTTATGAATGTTGCAAAGGCCTTAGAACAGGCTGAACACCAGCTGTGCAAGCGTTGTTCATTGCCCGGTGCTGGTGTACCCTGTTTTGCGGGGGATTGTGCCTACCACTACCACATTTATTGTGCTTACGAAAGTGGATGTTCCTTCTATGAGGATAAGAGTATGTTTTGTCCCAAACATAAAGACCAGTCATCATCAAGGGAGAGGTTGAAGAACTTTGATGTTAAACGTCGTGTTTATCTCGACAGGGATGAGTATGCCCTAGTCGCAGACGTAATTGGAACCCAGTGTCTTGCCACCTCGGGTAACCGCCTCTGTTTGCGCATCGGTACCCTCATTCTGGACTTCCTCGGACAATTACTTCCTGAGCACTTGGAAAGTGGTCGGTTTCACAACAGATCCTTCATATACCCTGTTGGTTTCTCCACAACACGCATTTATTGGTCATATCGGAGGCCTAGTCGTCGCTGTCATTACATTTGTACAATCACAGATTCCAGTAAAGCAAGTCGGAATGACAGCGATCAAAAATTTCTAGATGATCCGCCTTCTACTCACCCCAGCCCCATATTTACGGTCGTTGTCAAGGAGCACGGTCTTCCTGACGCACGCTTCAAGGCAGGCGACTGCAATACGCTATGGCAGCACATTCTCCATCTTGTTCGCGATAGTCGACAACGAGCTAGTTCAACCGCACTTCGACTTTTGCCCGAGATGTTGCGAGGTGAAAGTCTCTTTGGCCTTAGTGAGCCTCATATCGTACGTGCAATAGAATCCTTACCTGGTGTGGAACACCTTACCGGATACGTGTTTAAGTTCGGCAAGATGCAACTCATTTCTCGAATGCCTGTGATGATCAACCCGACAGGTTGTGCTCGCTCTGAGCCAAAGCGCCGGAATTACGTGCGAAGTTGTGATCGAGAGCGGGAGCAGGAGCAAGGGCAAGGGACAGTGTCACATCAGAACCACTCTACTACTTCGCCGCCTCATTTGGGATTCCTACGGCCACTAACTCAAATACCTCGTTACTGCTCTCCCTCCACTTCTGTCTCCATCTCCCTTCCCTTTGGCTCTACATCAGCTCCAGCGGGCAAGCAGTCGCCTTCCACACAGTACCGTGCTTTGCAGAGTGAGTGGCGGAACAACGTTCTTCTTGCTCGCTCAAAAATCCAGGGCTTGGGGCTATTTGCGTCCCGTGATATTGAAAAGAATGCGTTTATTATCGAATATCTAGGGCAGCTGATCCGAAACGAGGTGGGGAATCGAAGGGAGCGCCTTTACGAATCTCAAAGTCGTGGGATATATATGTTTCGTGCTGATGATAATTGGATCGTTGACGCGACCATGTACGGCGGTTTGGCGAGGTATATCAATCACTCCTGCGAGCCGAATTGTATTGCTGAAGTGATTCTCTATGACAACCAAAAACGCATTATCATTATCGCTAATCGTTTGATCAAAAAAGGGGAAGAGCTGACGTATGATTACAAATTGGACGTTGAGACAGACAAGGGAAATCGGATACCGTGCTTGTGTGGGTCGCAGCTTTGCCGCAAGTGGATGAACTAGCTTTCTATTCATCCATTCATTGCCTTACACTATATTGTTACCGAGTCTTTTTAAAAACAATTGATTTATTTTTTTGTATTTTGTTTTAGTCGTTTCTGCAGTCTCTTGCTCCCCTTCCCCATACATTTATCTGTTTTACCCACTTCCTGGATCTCATTATTTTCCTGAATTGTTGTATTATCATTTCCTTTAACCACTTTTTCTCCATCAACTTCTTCCTCTACTCTATATTTGTCTTTTCTCATGGTTTTCACTTTTGGCCGCCGCGCTGCTGTGATAAGTACCCGTTGTGGGATGTGTACATTTGTAATTGCAAGAATTGGACGGGACATTGTTTTCTAATCATTTTATCCCACAGATGCACAGGTGAAGAAAGCAACTTCAGATACGTATGGATTGCGGGAGATGTGCTTTACTGCGCGTTGACGTATACTTACACCCTCGATTGTTCGCAGACACCAATCTGCTGTTCTTTTATTCTTTCTTTAGGCTACCATTGTTTGTGAAATCTCTGCCACAGCTGTAATGTTGTTGCCTACCACACAGCCGATGTACATAGAGTATGCACGCTCACCCTCCCATCCATCTCTAGCATACAGTGAGAGCACCGCTTTGCTATCCACCAAATCAATTTTCCCCAGCTGGCTGTGCTGCTGAACTTCCTCCTTCCCCATTTCTCTGGTACTCTTAGCTTTGTGCATAATTTGTTAACCTTCAACGATTCTATCTCTATACATATATATATATATACATATACCTAACTATAAATATACACATGCTCGCAGTCATGTTGTGAATTCTGAGCTGGCTTTTGCTTGCATTGTATGTTTGTGGTATTTGTTGTGTAAGCGCACGAAATTTAGCCACAATTAAATGTCTAATCTCTCAGTAAATTAAGTGCTAATCATTTACCGGATGGGCACTATGCTGAAGGAG